TCATAATCTGAAAGAAATATTTTCCCTCCTTTTCTGTCAATCGCCAATCCTAATGGTTGACTAAAATGAATATTCTCTGCGTCTTCAATTGTATGTATCAATATCCATTCATTTTCGTTCATTTCATCATAAATAAAACATGTATTATGAAAAAGTTCAGCAACAAGCATTCTTTTTGGATTGATGAAAACAATATCCGTCACTGTTTTGATTTTTTCAAGTTTCAACTCTTTAATGACCTTTCCATTCACATTCACAGTATCTATTATATCCATAGCTCCTTGGGTACTAAATCTGAATAATTGTTTCTGATTTCCAATTATTCTAATTGCCATTCCATACAAATGATTTCTTTCAATTTTCCAAATACAATCAGCACTTGATCCTAATCTCATTAAATCCTTCACTCTATATTTAAAAGTATACATATCCTCTACAAAATAAATAGCATCATTTTGTTCATGATCAAAATTCTCTTCAATTAACAAGCCAGTCACTCCTCCTTCAACAAAAAAAGCTCCCAAATATTCATGGTTAGTCAAATTTTCTTGCTTGAGTTTTTATAGCGTTTAATCATTGAAGAATTGACTGTTGCTTAATTTTTTGTGGATGAGGACAAATTATAATGTGCATGCTGTCGATTGTCCATACACTATTAAGGAAACTTCCACCAGTATAATTTGATCTTATTTATGAAACTTAGATAAAGAATAATAAAAAAATAATAAGTAGCAATGCTTAAACAAGATAGTATAAACAAAATATTAATAATATATTTTCATCATGAATGAGATCCCGTGTAGTCCAATGGCTAGGATACCTGGCTTTCACCCAGGAGGTCCGGGTTCAATTCCCGGCATGGGAGGATGTTTTTTGGAAGGAATTTCATCAATGATCCCTAAAATAAAATCCATTTATTAAAATTTATCCTAGACCTTCATTTTGGGTAAAATGCTTAGCTCCTTTTCCAATTGTTTCTCATATGATGCTTGGAAACGAGTATAATTATCCAACATGTTGTGTTCACAAGCTGTTTGAATTCTATCAAATATTTCAGGAGTGATGGCAAAGAGGAAACTCATATCTTGTGGATTTGTGGAAGTTTGCTTTGGAGAAATATTCAATTTTGGAGAAGGTGAAACATTTCCATTTTTAGAAGCAAAATTAATGGTACTGTCTTTTAGGGATTTGAAGATTTTCTCAATTTCTGGAATTCCAAAATCCTTTCTTGAAATGTTCAATTCAAGAGGAGCTCCAATTCGAATATAAGTATTACAAATATTGTAAAATAATTCTCTTCTTTGTTTTTCTGATTTGATTGTTTTGAATTTCTCAATGGCATTCCACATCATGACATCTTCACATGCAAAACATTTTTCTGAGAATTTCAGAAAGAGATTATTCCACTTTTCATTCAGTAAAATCTTTCGAATGCTACTTTCAGAAGGTTTCGAATGTTGAAGTTTAGAATCAACTGATGGAGTGCTTTCTGTTTGTTGTTTCTTGTCAGATTTGAATCTTTGAAGGAAGAATACAGGATACGTGAATGAAATTAATGTATCCCACATATTTCCAATTAAAATTGTAATCGTCCATGGGAAATAATAATCAATACTTTACAAAATATTACAATTATTATTCTAATCTCAGATATATATTACTTACTAGGTTGTAAAAATAGTGAATAAAGAAGGCACAGCATACAATAC